GAGCCCCTGTCACGCCCACTTCCTGTGCCTCCTGACACGTGTCACTGCACCGGAGCCCCTGTCACACCCACTTCCTGTGCCTCCTGACACGTGTCACTGCACTGGAGCCCCTGTCACGCCCACTTCCTGTGCCTCCTGACACGTGTCCTTGCACTGGAGCCCCCGTTGCGGCCCAGGGTGTGTTCTGAGTGTCTGACCCAGGGTGCTCCCCTCCCAGTGTGCTGTTGTTGTTGTTATGTGCCGTTGATTCGGCCCCGACTCATAGTGACCTCTCCTTGGGTTTCTGAGGCAGTATCACTATGGAAGTAATTTCCCAACCTTCCGAGGAGTGGCTGGTGGGTTTGAACCGCCAGCCTTCTGGTCAGCTGTTTTGTTGTGCTCCACAGGGCTTTTTGCTGGGTTGTTTCTGAAGTGGATTGCCAGATCTTTCCACCTCATGTGTCTTAATCTCGAAGCCCTGCTGGTATTTGAGATACCTCTGCCCAGCACCGTAGCCACATAAGGCACCACGGTCCGGTGCTGACAGACGGGCGGTGGACGTACACGTGCCGGTCGTCACCGTCACCCCGTTTCTAAAGCCTGGAAACTACTGAGATCAGAGCCTCACGTGTGAACATCTCTGCGCCGTTTGGTGTCATTTCACCCCCATCTGAACCGGCCACTGCCCCGTCCATGTGTGTCGGCTCTCAGCTCAGACTGGAGTGGGAGGTTTTCCCGGCCCCTGGATCCTTATAAACGTGCTCGGCCACCTTGGGGGGAACACTGGGGGAGGACGTGGAGAGATGACAAAACCAAAGAAGCCCAAACACACTGCCGTCGAGTCGGATCCAACCCGTAGCGACCCCTTCTGGGTCTCCGAGGTGGTATCACTGCGGAAGTTGGTTGCCCGACCGTGAGAGACGACAGAGGAGACAGAGGGATGGACTTGGGGTGGTGCCGACACCAGCCGTCAAACGAGGCCTTCTTGTGCTTTGCTGCCCCTCAGCGTCGGCCGTTCTGAAGGAGCATTTCCTTGTTAGTTTTCCGAGGAGATGCCTCGTCCTGGTGCTTCTCCACTTCTATGCTGTGACCAAGGGGCCAGAGAAGCCTGTCTCCCGGCCAAACCTCACCATGGGTTTCAACAACTGTCAAGGCAACTTCCCTCCACACAGTGACTCAGGGACCCAGGCCAGTTCCTCATGGGGACTCTGCCATCCCCTGTACACGATGCACACATACACACTCACACACGTACATGCTCACACACACAGGTATATATACATTGACATAATAGAGTCACGCATACACACATACATTCACATGCGTACACTCACACACATACACATATATATGCACTCATATATTAGTCACTCATACACATGATAAACACACATGTTCACACGCATACACTCACAGGTATGTTCACGTACATGCTCACACATGTATATACAGTCCCATAATAGTCACTCATACATGGATGTACACGCTCACACGTGCCCACACATACACATGCATGTTCACATATATCTTCACACACATAGCAACACAGACACACATGCTCGCACACACACTTGTGTA